AAATAGTTTAGGGACAAGTTTAGTGTAGAAGGTGAAAGTTGAGGGACCATTACCAAGAAGGTACTTTTGTTTTTCCTTTCTTTTTTTGTCTTGAATATAGATGAAGTGAAGTGCATAATTTTGGTAAGCTTGGTAATGGTGGGCAAACAATTTAGTGTTGTAATCTTGCGTGTACGTAATTAGTGCTCCATATATAAATTATATTTTGCATAAATTAGTAATGAGGGTGGCAATACTTATATGTGTGCAAAAAAAAAAAAAAAAAGGGAGAGAGACTTTGTCAAACCTCATGGTATTGTATACATGGCCAACAGCTGGGGCCGGTGGGACTAGCTCGGTTAAACTCAGTCTACGACTGACTTGGGACCGAACTTTGGACCAGCATAGTAATCGAGGTCGGGCCGGACTGCGGCGTGGGACTGCTTAGAACAAATCTGAAGCAAAAAAAAAAAAAAAAATTAAAATGCTCTTTTTTGTTTGTCTTTTTCTCCTCAACAGCTATGTAGTGGTTTGTTTTAAGGGTATTTTAGTACAAATAGATTCTAATAATTTGTTTTATTAAAAAAACTATTTTGTAATTTAAACTGTATCAAATTATATAATTTAAATTATGAAATAAAAATCAAGCGCCCTAATGTTAAAAATTATCTTTTAATTTAACCCTTTTTGTAATCTAAATAATGAAAAAAAATTCTCTAGTTTTGTGATCTTCAAACGGTAATATGATTATTAGTTTCTGATGTATATATCTTTACTCCAAAAGAAATTATTTTTGACATTTTTTTTTTCAAAATGAAGGTTAAAATTAGCTTGAACTGGAACCAAAACTGGCCCAATCTACATGTATGGCAGGTAAGTTGCACTTCTTGATATGGTCAATCTGGGAATGCCAGTATGGAACCAATATCAACCCAAATGCCACGTGAACGGTTTTAGTGGTGTTTAGTGTAATAATTAAAACTAGTGGTTAATGATTTTTTTAATTTAATGTTTGATAATAATAATAATAATAATAAATTTAAACACTTTTATTTATTCAATATTTGAATTGAATTTATCATTAGCTTTAAACTATTATACCAAATACTTCTTTAGAGTAATATTGCGGAAGATGAAATCCAAAATTACAAGTGATGTTATTATCACACAATTAATTATTAATACTACACATTTTTATTTTAATTGACTACTTATTAATTCATTTAAAAAATAAAAATATAAAATTTTGAAAAAAAAAAAAGATCTAAAGGTATAATAATTAATTACTCAAAATGCGCATTATCTCTATTAAGTGTGTTGCTTCTATACATTGTTTCTCAGGTCATTAAAGAAATTTCAAGTAGTTTCCAAACGTTATAGATGATGACATGATGACATGATGATGATAAACTAGCATTCATAGTTGGAGAAGTAGTTTTGGTTTACATAAACATTAAGAAAAAAAATAATAATAAAACAAAGAAAGTCATGGAAGAATAAAAAAGCTAAAAAGAACAACCTATTTGCTTTTGCTTTGCCGTTAAAACAAAAATAACCTATTTGCTTTCCATCTATGGCAAGCTGAGTCAACTTTTTGGGCAGCTATTTAGAACTTTGACAAAACCCTAATTTTATCCAATTTGGGAATTTTTAGCACACATTATTGGCCTGCAGTTCTCTCAAAGAGCCCTAGTCTATAATCAGCTAGTCTTGACTTGTAAGCAGACTTTTTGTATTCACTCCATGTGAACTCCTTGTACAAACTCTCTTCTTCTTTTGCCAAAAGGCATTCCAAAGGTGCAATCTTTTCACTCAAAGGTGGTCCTCCAAAGTAGATCATTGAAACCCTTGATTTCATATTGTCAGCCAACACCCTGTGCCTCACACTCTTAAACCTCCCATTAGTCATCACCTGCATCAAAACCCCCCTCCAAATTATCATTAGTTTATGTTACAACAAGAATTTTTACCAAAAAAAAAAAAAAACAAACAAGGGACAAGAGGTGGCACCACATGATATAAATAATGGGTAGGTAGTGGGTACGCCCTTTTCACATAGGATAAATAGGAGCTCTTTTAAGAAAGTTCTGATAGGAGGGTTTATATTAAATTTGTTGACGTCAAGATTTGTGATACATAACTACGAGATATATCTGATTAATTTGATTCATCCTTCATCTACCTTACGATTTTGTCCTCAAAAAGACACCGTGGGAAGAAATTGTCAAACTCAAAAGTGAAAATGAAGTGAAACTAGAAGAAAAAAAGGAACAATTAGAGGGGGTTTATTTTTGTACCTGAAGGGCATCACCAACATTAATGAAAAAAGAGTTCTGATCAGGTGCGACCGAAACCCAAGTCCCATCTCGGAGACAGATTTGCAGGCCAGATGTGTCGTTGGATCTTAGAACAGACATTATCTGGGGGTCTGTATGCTCCCCAAACCCAATCAAATTTCTACCACTCAATGCCTGCAGCTCTGGACATGGTGGGTAGTGGTTTATCCTGAAACACGAGTCACTCTTCTCATCTCTCAGCAGCTTGCTCAGCACGTTCGTCTGCTCAATCTTCAGTCCGTCCGCAATTAGTTCCAGAATTTCAAACGTTATATTCTTCACTGCCGATATGTAATCTCTCACCGTAGAACTAAATACACAGAAAAACAGAGTAGCAAAAATTAGTTCTCAAATTTTAGTTCTATTGCAAGTCTGTTTGGTTTGCAAAATGACTTCATAAAAAAGTATTCATTTAATAAAATTTTCTGATGCCATACCAAAACATTAGGAAGTCATTTTCCCCGCACCAGACAGAGTATATTTATAAAAGGGCATGGTTTTGTGAAAACATTACCGGAAAATTTCTGGGTTTTCTTGGAAAACAGAGAGGGTTTTTTGGGAGGTGACTTCAGGGTTGGTATTGAGGAGGAGGTATTCGACCCAACCCACGTCACCATTTGGACCAATTCTCTTGTTACCGTAGCCAAAAGGGTCAGGAGGGCCAGCCCTGTCTTTCTCCGACTGTGGGAGGTTGAAGAACCGGAGCGCTTCGGATTCCAATAAGGCGGCGAGGTCCATTCGAACGCCATGATTGATCAACTTGAAGAACCCGAACTCCTCACAGGCTTTAACTATGAGGTTCTTGGCTTCAGGGTCTGATATGTCTATCACCGGAATTTCAGTGAAAACACTGGTGGTTGGCTTGCATGTTTTGATCAGAGAACAGTGGTCTAATGCCGGCGGTGACAGAACCACCATGGTTGCGGAGGATTGTGAATGTTGAGATTGAACTATTGAAGGAAGGATTGATGGAATGGAGAAATTAAAGGGGAAAGGATTAATGCATCAAACAGAGAGAAAAGAGGCAGAGGCGTTACTAACTCTACAGACGAGGCCTTGCATTTATGCTTAAAGGGGGGCAATTCCATTGAATTTT